GTCATCCTGAATAAGCATGACGGGACTATGTTCCTGGTCATGTGTGATCCCGTGTGTGGCAACTATGAGGTTGTCACGTGCCAGAACACAGGACCAAGGAGTATTAGGAATCAACCCAGCCCTAGCTCTTTCACAATTGAGGAGTCAGAAGAAGAGAGAAAAAGGCTAAGGGGAGTCGACAGCGAAGAAGAAAGACGGCCAAAAGCAATGACCCTTAGCTTGGCGAGCATAGGTGACGCTATGGATATAGTGTCGACCTATGGGATGGCAGACCCCGTGGCCGTGGAGGCCTTGAGGGAGAAAGTGGTAGAACAAATGGGAGATGGAGAGATGAAACTGGTATACCGGGTACCAGGAGGGACCGACGGAATGGTGGGAGCCCTACCACAAATTGCAACTCGGCCTTTTTTAGAGGTGGGCTCAAGCAGGGTTCACAAAGGCGGTACAAAAGGGTAGATCAAAAGTGTCACCATGTTCCGGTGCTCGTAGCTGAAGAAAAAGAGGTGTACTACGAGCGGGAGAGAGAATTGATACGGCAAATGCGAGAGGATGCTGCGAACATGCCATGTCGTATCAATCCGGAGACTGAGAAGGCGTTGATTATAGGGGAGTCTGGTTTCCTTACAGCGCAGGAAGAGGAACTTATGGTGGAAACCATAAGAGGAAGGCATACTGCATATGCCTTCAATGATGATGAGAGAGGACGCCTGGACGTGGATAAAATTCCCATGATTAGGATACACACTGTGCCGCATGAGCCGTGGAATTTGCGGGGCGCATGCTATCCTAATCCTGCTGACGAAGGGAAGGTAGTTGACTACCTAGATGGGAAGATCCGCACACACGTGGCAGACTACTCAGGCGGACCATATGCATCCCCATGGTTTTGTTTTATCAAATCAAATGAGACGTTGAGGTGGGTACAGGATTTACAGCGCCTGAATGCTGTGACTGTTAGAGATGCAGGTGGCCTCCCTAATGCAGATGCGCTTTCAGAGGCATGCGCTGGGAGGGCTATAATATCTCTGATAGACTTGTATTCTGGTTATGACCAGTTTTCTGTCTACCCATCTGACAGACCGATGGCGGTGATGCATACCCCACGAGGGCTGATCCACATGAATGTCGCACCGCAGGGGTGGACAAATGCGGTTGCTATGGTCCAGAGGCATATGGTGAGAGCGATGCAGCCAGTAAGCCCTCACATCACGCAACCCTATATCGATGATTTGGCGGTGAAAGGGTCGAAGGTAAAGGATGAGCAGGAGGTAATGCCGGGAATCAGGCGGTTTGTTTGGGGTCATGTGCAGGACTTGTGTCAAGTCCTGGACTTGCTACAAGAGCATAACCTCACTGCAAGTGGGTCGAAATCCAAGCACTGTATGCGAGGAGCGACTATCTTAGGATTTGTGTGCGACGAGAAGGGTCGTCGGCCAGATACTAAGAAGACCAATAAGATTCTCGAATGGCCAACCCTATTCGAGACGATTACCGAGGTGAGAAGCTTCCTCGGAACGTGTGAATTTTGGAGAATATTTATAAAAGGGTTTGCGACGAAGATGGAGCACCTGCGAAAGCTCATGCGCCAAGGACAAGATTGAGAGAGGGGAGATAGGCAGGAGCCTGTGATAAAGGATCTGAAGAAGGAGTTTGCAGAAGGAGGACTGGTATTGGGAGTACCAGACCATGCGGCTGTTATGACCAGACCCTTTATCATAGAGACAGATGCAGGACCGACCACTTTGGAAGGAGTTTTGATCTAGAGAGACCTCAATAGAGAGGAGCGATTGCTAAGATTCGAGAATCGAACGCTTAATACGGCTAAGAGAAACTACTCCCAGTTCAAGCGCGAAACCTTGGCAGTCCTCCACTGCTTGAGAATTTTCAGAAACTACCTCTTTGGCAACAGGTTCGTGTCGAGGGTGGACCCAACCACTCTAGCTGGTTCGCTGAAGAACTACGCTCCCTCAGATCCAACCATTGCCAGATGGCTGACGTACATCTGGATATTTGATTTTGAGCTGAGCAGATTCCAGGGAACAAAAATAGGGCGAATGGGTTGAGTCGAGTCGACTGGGGCAAGAACAGTGAAGGAGTGATCAAGGATACTCCCCCAGTCGACGGGTTTTTGGAGAATGAGGAGGATGTGAGACTTCACATCAACTCTTGGTCTTTGGCGGTAGGTAACTACATTACTCCTGGACGGCCGGTGTGGCTGACACCTCCAGGGTATGCATGCTTGCCAAACTTAGTCCTTAAACCCTATGTGGAGGAGGACTCATGGGGGATGCCGGATGTGCAGTGGATGATGCATCTGGCCTTGGCAGACAAACACCAGTTGGGTGAGGACCTGATCACGATGGAGGATGGAGCCCGACAGGTGGAGGATCATGAAAGGTCTGTAGGAGGGGCTTACCTCCTGGCCAATGCCTTGTTGCAAGAGGAAGTGGCCAGAAACGCTGGGCAGGATCAGGAAAGGGGCGAGAATGTGACCCATGAGAGGGAGGACGATGATTTCGAAGAAGGCGAGATTAAGGAGGCTTTTCGAGCATAAGAGTATGATGGGGTTTATCTTGAACTCGGAATGCTTCTTTCATGCGAAAGGAGAGAAAGAGATGCCAGCGAAAAAGTCTTGAAGATGAGACCGAGCTTTCTGGTAAGGGATGAACACTTGTTCATGAAGAGCAAGGGGAGGAAGCCCAGGAGGGTAGTCTGTGGCATCGTTCGTTAGATCGATGTCATGACCGCCCTGCACGACGGCACAGCTGGAGGGCACAGGAGTACTGACACAACGTATCTCAAGATACACGAATTGTACTATTGGGATGGCATGGGGAAAATGATCAATGATTATTGCAAATCTTGCGTCGCATGTCAGGAGCAATCTTCCCTTAGGCCAAGGGAGCCGCTTCACCCAAGATACATTCGTGAGGTTGGAGCCGTCGTACATATGGACCTGCTAGTAATGCCGTTGGGGATAAGGGGATTTAACTTCGTCTTTGATGCACGCGATAACCTCTCCGGGTTTGTGGACGGAAGGGCTATTCGCACCAAGGCTGGCGAGACGCTAGCGCGATGCATCGAGGAATATTACCTCCGATACCCCTTTGTCTCCAGATTTGTCATGGACAGGGGGTCTGAATTCACCAGTGCAGAGGTAAAAGCACTCTTGAAGAGGTACGGGGTAATTGCTGAGTATACTACTGCAGCGCACCCTCAAGCAAATGCACCGGTGGAGAGAGGACACAACACCATCTCGAACCTTCTGGCAAAATGGACCAGTGGGAGGGCAAATCAGTGGCCAGATTTTTTGAGAGTGACCTTTTTTGTAGACAACATCACCGTGAGAAGGAGCACCGGTTATGCGCCAACCACGCTATGGTATGGCAGGCATGCAACGTTCCCTATTGAGAGCTTCCTGAAGACATGGAGGCAGCAGGACCTCGAGTCAGAGTTGACGTTCGAGGAACTGCTCGATTTAAGGGCGCGTCAGATTGGAGCCATAGAGGATAGGATTGAAGGAGCGGCGAGTAAGGTGGCATATAACCGGGCACAGGATAAGTTCAGGTGGGACAAGATGGTAAGACTGAGGAAGGAGCCACTCAAGGTGGGAGACACGGTGCTGTTGTACGACTCATCCCTGGAGAAACAATGGTCACGGAAGTTGGATAAGCGGTGGTTGGGACCGTACAAGGTGACAAGAGTTGGAGAGCATGGCGCGTACCAGATTGAGGAGATAGATGAAACAGCCTGGAGAGATTGGGTGTCAGGCTCGAGACTGAAGAAGTTTGTTGATTGAGATGAGGTGAGCCCAAATCTCACAGGCTAGAAGTCCTTTCCTGCTAAGTATTTTTTGCTTAATAGAGATATTAGTTAGGTTGTATAGATAGTCGCTACGATGGTCTGACAGACTATAGAATTGGAATAGGTGTTTATGTGTATGTATGCATATACAGATGGATAGGTTAGGTGGGATGGGATGTGTATGTCTC